CCCCTCGGTGGGTGATATCCAATGGGATTTCACACAGAAACAAAAAAAAAGAGACCATTGCGGTATGAAGTTGCAGTCTGTCACATTCTAACTTGCGGTCATGCCCGTTTCTAATCACAAACGGTCTGCAGACCGCACATGCTTTGGAGTAAGCAGTTGAGTTTATGACGTGGGAGAGTCATGCTTCATCACATATGGGCTTGCTACCGGAAAACCTACCAGGCCAGAAAACCAGTGCTAAGCATTTGTTTCTTCTCTTCTCTTCCCGAGTGAGAGCAGTTATCGGAAGACTAATTCTGGTTGGAGGGGCTCGAAGGATAGCAAAATATTTAGAGTAGGCCAATTAGTCTACACATTTTATTTTAATCCTGTCTTTCTTTCTTGAAGAACAGTATTAAAAATTGTGCTAGAGTTGGAATAGACCATGATTACATTTGAGAACATTTAGTTTTATCATTAAAGATAAGACAAAACAATTATTGTAGACAGTTGTCACGCTGTATGTGCTCTCATAATAGCTCGTTCGAACTAAACAAAGGGTAGAAACGGCTAGTTTGTCAGCAGTTTCCTTGTTATCTGAAACACAATAGTTACTTTGGTTTATGCGCTTTCGGATTAAAGTCTTAATTAAAACTTTAACAACATGAAAACAGCTTCATATAATTCAATAATATATTAATCAGATAATTTTAAAGAATCAGAACATAGACTGTTAAACCTCAATCCGAAGCAAAAGCGTTTGGATGAACCTCCATTTTATATCCTTATTCTAAAATAGCCCTTTAAACGCTAATTTAAAACCAAATACATACATGTATGTTATATAATACTTGGCTTAAAGGTTTACAAAAGTACAAGTAACCGCTAACCGCCGATTGGAGGTTAAGTTAAAGTAATCTTGTTTTATTTGCATATTAATTTTGCTAAATTATTCGACAGAGAACTAGAGTAATCGACATCGCACAAAGCATCAGTGCGCAAAAGTGGAAGTGGTCATGTCTCCAGGCGGACTGATGGTCTCTGGAGCCGACGTGTGTTAGAGTGGAGACCGCGATTAGGAAAAGGTAGGGTAGGGCGCCCTGCGCCACGATGGACCGACGACTTGAAGATAATGGCTGACGTCGGATAGATGCGGATTAAATAGGTGTCCTTAACTAAAAAATATTCGAGGTTCAAGCGTCCTCACTTGCCGTCCACGGGCGGACTTAGCTATTGGCACAGGGTCGGAAAAATATTTTTCACTGAGCCGAGGGAGGCGAAATTTGTTTTTATTTTTGTCAAGAGGGAGGCTAAGTCAAAGAAGCTAAGATTTAATGTGTATAATACACATATATACATATATAATACTTTCGTATGTCATTCCATGAGCAAATAAAATTTGTGTGGTAAAATTACTTCCATAAACTTAATTATATTACCAACACATGTAAAATCCAAGAGGGGCCACCTACTCCCCCCTGCCTCCCTCAGTACACCGATGTGTACTAAAAAAGAAACCCCTCAAAGCACCACAATTTTTGAAGAAATTCAAGGTCAAAGACAAGCGCTACTTTGGCGATATAGAGAAACTTGATCAATATTGCATTGAATTAACTTTAAAACAACTAGAAATGACTTACAACAAACTTGATTATACCCACAATATACGAATATCTAACATCACATGTAAAATCAGGGCGTTTAAACCGAGCGCATGATCCGTTAATTTATTTTTTCAATATGTCGTAAAAATAAAAATTCAAACCAGGACACGATTTCCCAAGTCAGTTACGGATTTGTGACTAATCTTTGGTTCTTTTGAACGCCTGCATTGGGGAGAAAATTGCTCATGTGTGTCATCGCGCGATCTGTTATCAATGAACATCTGCTAACACTCAAATGTACTCAACTTTAGTGATCATAATATTGCTTTTTTTAAGATTAATATAGGCATTATAATCAGTATTATTAATAATTGTTGTTGGATATCGCCAGTCGCAGATTTCAGCTAATTTTATTACGGAACTGACCATTTCATAAAATTAAATTAAGTATTTCATGAAATCAGAGAGGCTCGTGTCTAAATAGTAACTGAATAAGTTAACATATTGCAATGTTAAGTAATCCCAGCCAATCGTTACGGATAGTTGGTTCTGATGGCAATCGAAGTTAAGCAGTATCGTAATAGACTTAAAGCCGACCCCAACCTAGTTTGGGAAAAATGGGTCGTAGAAACAATAATCATTTCATTAAATGGTTAAAAAAAAGGAATTCATCAATTTCATGATCTGACTGGGATACAGGATATACAGATGATATTTACATGTTTGACTTGATCGATAGCAAATGTAATCAAATATATTATCAGTTATAAGAGAGATTTTTGTCAATCAATACAAGTAAGTTGTTATATTTATAATAAAAATAAGCAAATATATTGAATCATGAAGGGTCCGTTATACCAGTATCAAACTATGAATATTATTACTGATAGAAACATTAGCATTAACATACGTACACTAATATTTTTTCCCCCAGAATAATGAAAAGGAGGCATATTTAAAATATCCACATTTTGCAAACTAGAACTCAAGTCCGACTTACATAATTTACGGCCTTTAGACCAAATATAATTTCATTTTGTCCGTGTCTGTTGTCTGTATATAAGGATTCACAACAGAATTTGTTTCTAAATACTAGCTCTCTTATTATTAAATATTGTGCGTTTACTACTGCTTTAGCTATCCTTAAAATACTTTTGGCATAAATATTTTTATTAGTTATCAACAAATTGGTAGTTTATGGGCAAATAAATTCTGTAGAGAAACTGGATTATATTCTATTTTATTTATAAATCGATTTTTCTATGAAATGAAAAAAAGTAAAACAATGAGTTTATAATTATTACATGGCCTTTTCTTTACAGATTTAAATGAACTTGTGTCTAATTGTTTCAATCAGTATTACTGTAGCCTTAAAATAGCAGTGATGAATGGAATCCGCTGTGAGCAGAGTAGACTTAGACCAGCCCCAAAAATTAATGGTAACTTTTAGCATTCATTACAAGTTATGTTCTCGTCCTTTGTCCGAAGATTGTTTAATATTGATCTATTTTTGACCTGGAGAATTAAGTAAATAACAATATTATTATATCAATTATTAAGATAAAGAGGTTTTCTGTAATTTAAAAGTCCTACATTCTATAAGCAAAAGCTGACGGTAAATATAATGATCAATCAAAACACAGTTAGACAACAAACAGACACAGAAGATAAATACTTACATGAAATAAAAGTAACTCTACATAGATTAAAATAAAGTACATAATTAACTTGGATTTAAAATTTGGTACCTTTGTATATAAAATATTTGTGATATTGCACTTGAATCAAACGTAGTTTATACGCCCTGTCCTGCCCTTAAAATTTACAATTTAGGTACTAACTTGGCCTATGTTACTCGTAACTTGTCCAGCCATTAAGATTTACACCTCTGTATAAAATGTATGTAGGTATTTTCATGCCTTGGTACCAGCATTTTGAAAGGCAGTTCACTTAACGCGGTTTCTATTTTGGATTCAAATGATCACTTGTCGTCAAACCCCATCGAGTATTTTACTGATTAGAAGGCTAACTGGTCAGTAGTATTCTAGCCAATAGATATTAGTGGGTCTTATTCAGTTACAGAGACATTTATGTATATAAGGTTTTTTTCTGTTATGATGACCTAATGAAATCATCGCCAGCCCTATTACCTCAACTCGGTTAAGTTGACTTTTTTGCTAAGCCAATCCTTTTGGTTTGAGATTCTACAAAATTAACTTAAGTTAAAAATACTTTACTTTAATTAATGTTATTAAATACTGATATGCGTATTTGAAAAAAAATACATGGAAGTATTTGAACTGTAAGAAAACCGATTTTAAAAACAAATAACTGATTCATGAGAAAACGTTTTGTTTGAATGCCTTACCACGTCTAGTTTTAATATATTTATTTATGAATTTGTCGTCGAATGTCCCTTTAATGTCCCTCTCTAGAATCTTGAACTTAATTTTATTAGCTTGAAAAAGGATTTTCCAACGGGATGTTTCATGTTTCCCCAAAATAAAATATATAGTGTTGTTTACTTTCCAAATTTCGTCCGTCAGGTGGGCTGAAAAAATCACCCTACCATTAGATTATTTCGTGAAAAAAGTAGTACGGCAATTAAAAAAATAGTTTGATGACGTAACTGATCTGAAAATAACGATGATATTCTTAAAGGGGTTTTAAAAATGTACATATTATAGGAAGGAATATTACCTCTATCGTTGAATTCAGATAACACTTTGTCAGAGATGACATTGTCCGCACGCCAAAGTTCAGATGCACCGTAAACTTCTGAAACATCCTAAATGGTATACTTTTGATCAATAGAAACATCCTAATGAAAATAAACCATTAATTTCTATCTATTATATATCCTTCATCATAAACCCCGTATTAAGTTATTCTGAAAAAACTTCTCTGAAAGTTAAATTTTAGATATACCTACCTAATTTTATTTAACGGCAAGTATTATTTATGTGCATACTTGCTTTTGCCCGCGGTTCCGCCCGCGCAAATATCGATTATCGCGGTAAAATCTAGCCTATGTCTTTCCTCAAGAATCAAAGTATCTTCATACTGAACTTCATCTCAATCGGTTCAGCGGTTAATAATTCCCCATATAAACTCCCCCTCCCCCCTTTTTACCCCTTTAAAGGATGATTTCTGGGATAAAAACTACCCTATGTCCTTTCCCGGGTTTCGGACGATCTCTATACCAAATTTCATCTAAATCGGTTCTGCGGTTTAAGCGTGAAGAGGTAACAGACAAACAGAAAGATAGACAGACAGACACACTTTCGCATTTATAATATTAGTATGGATATATAGCGTATTCAATATGTACAATTAATCATTAATCTAACCACACAGTAAACAAATGCGATAAGCTAAAAGTTTTAGGGCCAAATTTAAAATATTTGTAATTTCACGTTACTTACTTCCTAAATTAAAGTTGTCGAAATATTCTTCAGAACTTTCCGACTTAGATACGTCATCAGCTTCATTTTTTGGACTCGGCATTTCTAAAAATAATTAGAGTAAAATATTACAGCGATTTGAACAACAAAAACAGTTAATAACATCAAAAAACAGACGCCAGAGACTTTATTGCTTCTTTCTCTGCGAGATAAAAAGAATCTAAAACATGATAACATAGGTCCGCTCAAAGAAATTTTTGTTTGGATTAATACACTTTTATTTCGCAGTACTTACAAAAAAGAAAGCTTATTAATTGACATGACAATGTTACAGTTTTTCGACTTATAACATTAAAACTAAATATTAATTAATTAGTTACTTTAATAGTTAATGAATAGTTTCAATCTAAGCAGAGCTTGTACTATGAAAGCTTGATTGACTGATAGAATACTTATATACTTTTTTTAATACATACATACATATTAATACATTATACGAGCCATTCCTCTCAGTTTCGACTGTTTTTATGCTCCTATATTACTCCCCAAGAATATTTCATATCAAATACTACAAGAATCATTCGTTTAGCTAAGAGCGCCACAGCACGTTTAAACAAAGAAACTTTTTTTTTTATTGTAATGCCCACTAGTATAGGTTGGGTTGGGAGTTGCCGATCAAGGTTTTTTTGGCCATCCTATCCCCGCTATCGCAGTAAATTACCATCAGAAGTCCCCAATCTCTTGCGGCCCGCGGTGCCAACTAGTACAGGTAAGTTGTAAATTTAATTTTTATAAGATAAATAAATAAATATGAATTAACCTAAAGCTCACCAGTAATCTTTTTGGCTGTTGATTCCTTTTTTGGTACACTTTTATCGCCATCTATAAAATTCTATTTTCAAATTTTTCAGTTTTAACAAATTGTTTGTTAGTTCTTAAATAATAAATATGCAAATAATAATAATAACTTTACACATCTATCTATCAGGAGTTAATCCCAAACTAGACAGAGCCCGTGCAATGATTACTAGAATGCTTACATACATATTTACATATTTCTAAATACATTTATAATTGATAAATTACACCAAGACGTAGAAGCGTATGATCATGCGCATTGCACAATGATTTATTCTGAGTGGGAATCGAACCCAAGACTTCCGGCAGTCAAGCAGTCAGTGTCACTAACCACTTGACCAACAGACGAAATTAAGAACAGATGAATATTATTGCTTTTCAAAAATATGTATATGACAAATCATACATTACCGCGTCTAGTATTTATATATTTCTTTATAAAGTTATCATTTATTGGTCCTTGGATTTTGTGCTCGACAACCTTGAATTTAATGCCATTATCACGTAAAAGTCTACGCCAGTAAGCAGTCTCGTGTTTACCAACAACAAAATCAATTGTGTCGCCTCTCTTCCATATTTCATCCGTCAAATGCGCTGTTAGAAAAATACTTATTTTATATTTTATTTTTGTGTTATAAAAGATGAAATAGTTAATCATGGAACTGACTAGATTAAATAAAGATGCTTTCGGCTTTTAACAGCAAAAAGCTAAATTTTAGCGTACAATGTTACCTCTGTCGTTAAATTCATTCAGAACGGCTTGTGATTTCACATTTTCTACACGCCAAAGTTCGGAAGGCCCATGTGGTTCTGTTACTTCTTCGGTACTCCATAAATCTAAAAAATAATTGTCACTCAGTCATAAATATAAACAAAAGCAGGTATAAATTTTAAAGAAGAAAACTAAAACATGAATACATGTGATATAAATTTAGGATGTTTTTTATAAATATTTCTTTAACAAGAAAGTTTCTCTGAGCCTGCTTATTTTGTCCATATAAAACTTACGATGTATTTTCTGCGTTGTATATGGATATTTGTCGTCAATAATTTCTTCGGATTCTGGATATATTGCTTTGGTAGTAATCATGCTGCTCTTCAAATTATGCGTAGAAGTTTCAATTTCTGAAAAATATGTTTAAAATAATTATACAAAATCATAATTGTTTGATCTATAGTCGTAATCACGTATGTACGAGTATGATACTGGCTAAGAAAAAGTTCACACATCAATTTAGGCTTTTATATTTGATGTTTGACATTTGATCCCGTCAAATCCTATTAAATGTTAGTCAAGAGATTGTTATTTATTCAAGTCAATCTCTGGAGAATCTTTGTTGACGATTTCAAATAACATTTTGTAAAACAGTAATTACGATTCACAAAATTTAAAACAATATTTAAGTACTGATATATGCCAAGTTATTTAAGGTAAATGTAATTGAAAAGTGTTCAGCAGACACACAATTATTGACAGACAATGCTGACGTTAGTGACTAATATGTCACACGTAAGAAAACTTTCTACTTAATTTTTGACATAAAAACATGTCCATGTTTGTTTTCTTACCTAGGGTTATAAAATAGTAGTTTTCTTTACATTAAATTTAATGCTAAAGAAAATACTTTACCTATGGTGGGTTTTAAATATTTGTTCAGGAATTTATCATCAAATATTCCTCTTAAATTCTTTCCAAGAACCTTCCATTCGATATCATAATTACTAAGAAGTTTTTGCCAGTAAGTCAGTTCATAATCAGCCACAATGAAGTAGTAAGTTTCATTCTTTTTCCAAATCGCATCATTCATGTGTGCTGAAAAATTATAACGCTTACAGAATCGTGCACAAATTATTACCTAATCTTTTTGTCTTTACCCCTTTTTACATTTTCTTTAAAGCAGACAGAGACTTAACATACCTAATTGCTAAAAAAAAAAAAAGACTTCCACTATCAACGTCCTGGCTCTACAATCCTCGCTCAGTCTGTTGCACTCTGCAAAATGAGCTATATGAGCCCAAACTTGATAAAAGATAAGCTCTCAGCTAAAAATTAAATACTTACAAAGTTTCATTTCGACACGAGCTTGAGAAGTAGGTTAACATTCACTGAAAGGATTCGTTTACATAGCTCGTTACTCATAGCGTTTTAGCTAAGTTAAATGATCTTTGACACCAACAGAACTTTAAGGATGTTTTTTTAACTTACTACACTAAACAGGTGTTTAAACTGTTGGCTGCTAACTGGGCTTTAAATTATGGTGGTTTCGTATTTAACTACTGCTAATCCGTCCCAAAGTTCTAATTTAGTGCCTTTGCTAAGAGTCTCTCGAGAAAGTTAAACCAACTTGGACCCGGTGAAAGGTAGGTGTATCTATGTATTTCGTAGCGTACAAACTCGAACTAAGAATACCTACTGCAATTTGCAAGTAGATGTGAACCATAATATATTTACAAGTAAATGATGCAGTGGCCTATGCTTAAAGTTAAATATCTAAACATAAAAAAAATTAACCGAACAGTAAAAAAGATAAAGGTATCCTGAGTAAAGATATTTAAATACGAGTAGATTATGAATCTGTTTTCATTCTGCACTCAATCATCGTCTAGGGAACACGTAAGATTAATTTAGGTCAACCGACTTTTCTATTTATTGTCGTAATAATTCAGACGTTTAAATGTAGAACCTTAATTTTTTTAACGATAATAATGTTACAGTTTTTGACAGTCAATTACTATCATATTCTATTTTTAAATTACCTCTAATTTCGAATTCGCGGAGGATATCTTCATTTTCTACATTATCTACTCGCCAAAGCTCATATATTGAATCATCTTCTGTGACCTCTGCAGCGGCAAAATAGACTGCAAGAATAAATATAAATGATTATTTATACATTATAATATAATGTTAACGATAAAATTAAAAACACGAAAACTGTATTGTACAAAAACTTCTTGCTACCTTGTGTACTAAGAAATAAAATGTTCATGAACAAGGTCATATTTTCAGTAAAAATAATCGAATTACCAGCACAGAAGGCGATAAGAAATTTTATTACCGTTACGAAATGAAACAGAACATTGACTTTTAATTTCTTATACATTTTCCATATTTGTATACAAGAAGAAGCGATATACGAGTACGTAAAACATACTGTTATTATATTACCTAATGACTTTGCGTATTGTTTAAGGCAATTATTTCCGTATTTTAGGACTTTAAAGCATATATTTTTGTTTGAAAAACATTTTAGTGTCAATAAAAACTTAAAACTCTCAATGGTTTTTGCCACACTCAGTAAAATAAAAGTTGGTCATAAGTAAAATACTACATATATTATGATTTTTTTAGGGATTTAGCTTGAATATGCTGTACACCTAACAAACACTTAATTAAAAAAGGAATAACATTTAGAAGGTCCTCCTTTTTATAAATGTATATTTAAATTTTGAAATTTATATTTTTATAAAAATCTATGGCAATGTTTATAATGTTAATAAAATTAATGGAGTTGGTTATTATGCATATTTATTAATTCATGTAAAAATTTATACATATGCTTGCTTACCAAATACACTACGTGTGTGCACTAACATTAAAACAACAATTCTTTGAACTTGCGTGTATAAAAACACAGCTACGTAAACACATCTACGTTATTGTGTTTTTAACATTGTTTACTTAAAAAAATATTCAGAAGCGTAGATTAATAATAGCGTAAAGACTTTGATATTCTGCATAATATAACGGAATCCTCAAATCAGATTTTAAAAGCATAGTATGTACACATCGAATTTTCGGCTTAGTTGTCGATTCTCTTAACTGAATTAATTTATGTGCGAATCAACACCAATAGAAAAGTGTAGGTGTGTAGTACAAGCGTTCACTTGCTTTACACATAATCTTACAACCATCATCATCATTAGGTAGGACCTACCACTGCTGGACATAGGCATCTCCTATTGAAAATCTAAGAACATTCATCCAAAGCTTTCACAAGTCGACACAATAAAAATGTGACCAACTGCAATCTTGTGAAAATATTTTAAACTTTTGTGTGCAAACTTGTGCAAAGCTGTGCGCCTTTTATAAAGCAATATATCTTATTATTGTAGGAAATAGTTTTACAACTATAAGTGGATTTTTATATGGAACTTTCCATTATAGAACATGTTTTAGAGCCATTTTATGTCCAACTATACTTTTGAAACTTACAAACGTATATTTACATTTAGAGTAATTTTTTCAAGGTCATGGTTTGTTGAGTTTAAGTTAAAGATTCAGAAAGTTTTTAGGTTAAAAAGAACTTCAAGCGATTAATACTCAAAAAGCGTTGATTTATGTGTATATTGCAACTTTTCATGGTTACTCTTTGCTTGTGCTAAATAGTTCCACTGAGTAAGAGAAATGTTAATGAAAGAACATTTGAAATCGACAAAAGTATTCATCAGCAGCTTTTAGTAGTCCACTGCTAGACATATGTAAGTATCTCCATAAAAATGAGGTTTTGACCTACTACTACTACAAAAGTATTAAACACACGATACTCTAAACCAGCGCTAGATCTCTTTTATATTATCTATGTGCTATTATAAGTCAACAGAAAATAGTTAACTATTAAATTATTTTCAAATAAAAAAAATCTATATAATATGTCCAGGCCAGTAATAATCGCCATTTGTCCATTAAATTAATTAATAAACCTAAATAAAAATAAAATAAACCTTCGACTGCGCGGATGACGTATCTATGATTTTCGCCACGCCGCTTACTACTACGCTGTGTGATTCACAAATCCTTGTTCTGAGTCCGGGTGTTCTTTGTATCCGCTTGATGTGTGTTTGTAAAGTCTCCCACGACACAGGATAAATTCCTAAAGCGGGTGTTGTTGTTAAATTCGCAAAATAGCAGAAAATTTTACCCAAGGTATAAACAGATCTCAAAAGGATTTAACAGGATTCACTAAGGCCATATTTCATATTGTAAATATTCTTTACTTACAAAGATCGCTTTCCAACAAATGTTCGTCGTTTTATCGATATAAAAGATACGATGTGATACCAATTACTCCAATACTTACTGAAAATAGAACACAAAGACCTCATATATGAATACATAGGGTGTGCCAAATAGAGTACTCCAAAATAAATAGGTATGAGAGAAATTCTCTCACACGTCATTTCCTCTTAACCGAAGCTCTTGTTATCTTTAACAACGGAGACGGTCTACTACCACCCACTGGTAAACTATTCAAAGAGGATTACAATAGAATAATACATCTATTCTTAGTCTTTGCTAGTGAAAACTTTGTTATATAATATTGTGCTTATTATACTCGTAGCAATCAATATGGTTTCTCTTTAAATACTCTCGAAGAAACTTAATATTAGATACAATGTAATATCGAGTATCAGACGTAATTTAAATTGAATTAAAAGAAAAAACCACGATACTGAACAGGTTGGTTCGCACCGTTTGCCGTTAGATGATAAAAGAGCTAGTTGCATTTCAATGAGGCTACTAATGAACTATTAATTAAGTATGGTAAAAAAGTGAACAATACCCCAGCGGTGTCAACAACACTTAAATCAATGGTTTTTTCAACCTTTTACATATGATCTAATACCTATTTCTAAATATAAAAGCGAACAAAAACGGAATCCTTAAAGAATCTGAACAATAGAGTAAACTATAAAGAGTTATAAATCTCTGTCTCATATTGCGTGGGAGAACGACCAGTCGTGTTCAGCCTGATAATATTTATAGAAGCACTACCATACAAAATATAAATGTTCGCTGAATGCATGTGACGTCAAATAAATAAGCGACTCAACTTGGCTATTCATGAATACAGCTTGCATTATGTAATTTCTTGTTTTTCTATCAACATTAATAGTTTACTTTTAAATAAGTTGCATTGACTTTAATAGGCCTACATCATGATGAACTTTAATTAAATGTAAAATTAAATGCCCATTCTATGGAAGTAAAATTAACGACTTAATATTACATTTTATTGCAGTTAATTATAATGTAGGCCTATTAAAGTCAATGAAACTTATTTAGAAGTAAACTATTGACATTAATGTCGATAGAAGAAGATACATACCCTTAATTCAGGTTGTACTCATGATAGCTAAGGACTTAAGTCGCTTATTTACGTGACGTCACATCGCACCGTCAGTAATGTTTCTGTGGTGTGACTAACTGTGGTGTGTGCTAAGTGCACAAAATGAAATTCTTTACTGTTTAGCACTGACAGAGAAAGAACGAGGATAATAATTACTCTGTAAATATATTTGTGCCTGTCCCCGCTCGTCTCCCGTTCTTAGTGCTACAAGGTCACAAGCAGTAATGTGTCCATATTTGCCGAAAGTGAACCGTCAAAACTTTGTTATATTCGTGTTTGTGCAAAAAAAAAACAGGTACCTAAGCTATGTTCTAAACTTTTTGTATTATAGAGAACAATTTGTAGTTGCTCCTTTATATTTTACAAAATTTAATAATTTTTCGTCTGATTCATATTACACTAAATTGCCAAAATTGAAAATGTTTTTTGTACTACGAGGGCTTAAAAATTGAGTGCTTTTTTAATCACTTGTAATTTATGGCATTTATTTATATTATCATTCTTTTTATGGCTATTTATAGTACAGTTATCACAACTTTAAATGCGATTTCCCAAAAAAGTACTTTTTTGTATTTACATAGTATAAAATAAAGTCGTTTTTTTGTTTTGTGCGCTTAGATATTTTAAACTAAGCAACGGATTTTAATGCAGTTTTATTTTTTTATATGTATAATACATGCCTATTATAGCAAAGAAAATCCGAGAATTTTAGATTTGTTGTAAGAAACATGTTTTTGCGCGTTTACATTGCAAACGCTGGCTAAACCTTATAAGATACACTAAAATAATGTACTACGGAATTATATATCTTAAATAGACCTATAAAAAATCCTCAGTGATATATGTCTATCTCCTAAGGATAACCCCACAGAAGAAGAAGAAGATTTAGAAGAAATTAGAGGTTTAAAATGCGGGGCCAGAACGACCGTCGGGCCATCCGGCCCGGGTGGCAGCGGCCGACAGGATCGGAGCGGGCCTATAATATTACATATAAAGATGTCCTGTAGTCCTATCATAATAATAGTATAATTAATTACTCCACACTGACACTACATTAGGAGTATTACTATTATCTACATTGCACCCGTGCGAAGCCGGGGCGGATCGCTAGTGCCTTTATATTACTAAGGGTACATGCATTCAGTCATATTTTGTATGGAAGTGCTTCTATAAATGTTATCAGGCTGAACACGACTGGTCGTTCTCCCACGCAATATGACAGAGATTTATAACTCTTTATAGTTCGGAATCTTAAATCCTAAAAGAATCTGAATAATAGGTTTAATTATTCAGTGCTCTTTTAGGATTCTTTTAGAATCTGAATAATAGGTTTAATTATTCAGATTCTTTTAGGATTTAAGATTCCGTTATTGTGCACTTATATATTTAAAAATAGGTATTGGATCAAAATGTAAAAGGTTCAAGAAAGTGTGTGAATATGATATCAACATTAACTAAAATAACTGATTTAAATATTTATGCTTCTCAATAATATAAATGTGAAGTGCGTTTGTTTATATTTTATGATTTTATAACTCAACATGAAATTGCATGCATGTCGTCATAGGGATAGAAAAAGATAATGGGTGCATTTCATTCCAAATAACTTTATCCCAAATTACTGCTCCAAGGGATAATCAAAAAAAAACTTACACACAAAAGAAAATCGCGGATACAGCTAATATAATTTATTTATTTTTGTCGTCATAGCCCCGCGACCCTGTTACCGCGCAGGCGAGGACTCAGATAAACGGTCGGCCTATAGTATACGAGTATGTATTTAAGAATAAATATTTTTCGTTTCTCACTGTGTCACTTTTAACTTTACTTTTAACTGTATTACTCTGAATAGTTTATTATTAATGCTTAAGTCATTAACAGGCTAAGAACAGTCAGAATACTTTAGAAGTACAAAAAACAAACTACAAGTACTCATTTTTCTCGACGGTTACAAAATCATAGAAACAAAACAA